ACAAGAAGCAATGGGAATGAACTGATGAATAAGCTATTGCTCAGAAAATTTTCCGAAGGAAATGGAAATGGATGGGATACACGCTGAAGAGACCGTTGCATGATACAGAGTGACAATCCTTGAAATCACTACAAATCACTATCGACTGTAGAGTTTTAAAGCAAGTTGCTTCTTTCGCTTAACTTTCATAAGCATCATCGTTCCAGCTTTAGGTGGTAGGGATAAAGACGACAAAGCCAGTCAAGATCACCAAAGCAAGACAGATGTTCACTGATCTGAAATCAGCGAGAAAATTCTCTGCACTCAGCATGTGGGAGAAGATCCGTATTTTCAACACATTAATATATGAAGTCAGTGCTTCTATGCTGAAAAGAGACTTGGCGAGTTATGAAAAACTTTTCAAAAAGACTACTGCAGACTGTCATCAGCAGTTGCCTTCTATTTTGATGATACTGGAGATCGAATGACAAAAAAGAGATAATAATCGATAAAGAACTCTCGGAATGTAACGAGCAGTTCAAGTATCTATCGTCTGACTACTATGCAGACGGAGATGTAGATGGATTGAATATACATTGAGAAGACACTTGAGTTAGTGTGACTCCCAAGGAAAAACGAAGAATTAGGTGATCAAGAGTGGAATTGAGGCAATCGTGCGCTGAGGAGATGAGAAGTTGTGAGCAAATCGTGTAGCCATTTAAAAAAAGAATAGAGAGGGGCAAGTGAAACTGAGATGTGCTCATGAAGTCCTACGTTCCAAACAGATTCTTGAGTATAATTTCTGTCTAGAACGTATCTGTTCCGAGTAAATGCTCTTTTTGGTCGCTTACTTCTAGCCGGTGCGTCGGTGGCATAGCGGTTAGGATGCTCTTTGACCATGAACATGGTCTGGGGTTCGATCCCCGGCCGATGCACTCCTTTACCTCGGTAGGTCAGAAATGAAGCTGGTAGAGGGGAAAGGTCGGCCATGAGGCTATCAACCTCATCCTGTAAAATTAAACACCGCTACAGAAACATCAAGCCTGTAGCTTAAAGCCATATGTGTCACTGGGAACGTGAAGGAATAAAAGAAGGAAAACTTCTAGCCTACTGGTGAAATAGTCAGTGGACTGATCTAGATGTCTGAATTTCTTGGATTTGATCTCTGAAAACATCATAGGTACCCAATATGAAAGAGTACGAAATTAAGAGGAAAAGAGCAAAAGGAAAGTACGTCTTGGGATAGTAATAACATAATGTGTTGCTCTTGAGTGACCTAGCTGTCTCTGATATTCATTTGTAGATTATTGATATACAATCCCTTAAATTATGGTCCAAATTTCTAAAGAACGTATTCGTGGATAGTGGCTCAAGCTCGTTTATAACGGCATTACCGCCCTGTAATACAGTATCAACTACTAGCTCACAAAAGGGCTCGAGTGCAGTTCTCACTCCTGTGATACAGCTGAAAGATGTTCTTCTAAAGAACTCTGAGTTCTGTAAGTTAAACCGCCTCGTAAAAGGTATTCAGAGGCAAGGAAATGAACTTCGGGAAAAATTAGGTCAGTTTGATAGCATGACACTGCCAATCTCAAATATCACGGAGAACCGATCTGATATTGGCCAGGTTAACTTTCTACTGGAAGTAACTGAAAATAAGCTTGCGGATTTAGACCCAATAGCTTACCTGTTAAATAGATAACACATAAGGCATATACTTGTGAATGTTTACTGCAAATTTTTACATGAGTTCATTCAGATCTTTCTGTTTGATTCGCCCTTCCATGAGCTGCCATCAATAAGCCACATTACAAACCAGTGGTATCTACAGGTAAGTTAGTATGAGAGCGATTCAGTCTTACCCATCACAGGCGACCAAGAAATAGTGGTATCCCTCGATGTCATAGCACTATATACTTTGACTGGATAGACGCCAACAAGATGAAACCATTGGATAACTACTCAGCAATACTCAGGTTGGATGGAATGTACAAACCTGTGTCTTACAACGCATTTTCATTTCAACGTCGAAATGTGTGAACGCATTAAATGGGATAGCTATGGAATTACCCGTATCACGACTGATTGTAGAGGCTGTTATGCAAAGACTTAAAAACGTAATGCTATCAAAAATTAACTCGGAAATTGGGATACGTCATGTAGACGAAACATTCGTGATACGAAGAAGAAATGACTTAGACAACACTCACAGTCTAATCATATTCGCAAGAGAAGAGGAATCCGAGAACAAAATTCCATTTAGTCAGGCGAACAACTAAAGAAATTCAAGAATACAGAAAAACAACTCATACAGGTCAAGTATTCAATTAACACAACAACAACCCAATAACATGCAAAAGTAGTTGCATTCAACTACTAATCAAGAGAGCCAGGACACATTACAGCACTCCTGGCTTAAGAAAAGTCGGAGAAAGATGCCTTCCAAGGAGATGGATATCCATGAAACGTGGTTGAAAGAAATATACCCTGAGCTCAACCAACCAAACCAAAGGTGCACAATGAAAACACAAAGAAAACTGTCCTAATACATAAAAAGAACGTTTTGGAAATTAATGCGATGACTATTGAAATATTTTGGAATTCATGTCACCTTCAAACCAACAAAATCACTTCACACGGCTATTTGTCAGTCAAAAGACTCAAACAGTAAAATAACGTAAAATCAGTATCACCTACAGGATAAATTTCAAAAGTGGACTTCCTCTTCATCTTCAAATCCATGAATATTAACTGGCAGTCAAAAACACGATATCCACTTCCTCATATTACTTCACGCATACAACCATGGACATCGATTTGATTGGGACAATGTTGAAATGTTAGACAGAGGAAACACCAAATTCGCAAGAGAATTTCTAGAAGCCTAGTATTCAAGTGAATCGTCAATCAACAGACACATTGACATAGACAAGATTTACCTATCCACTATAAGAAGGAAATCACATGAACGAAAGTTCAACACTCAAGTCAAAGAAGCAATCACTACCACTACAAGTGAGCTAGAGGATGAGAAAATACACAAAACAACCAATCACTTTCAGGGTTACCAGAAGGGGTGGTTAATAAGTGGAGAATTTTGAAAGCTTACTTTAGATTGAAGTATGCACTGAAGATGTTGTCTGGTAACACAGTGAACGCTTCACACTCATAAGCCATCCAACTCACCAAAATCATCCACCTGAGCTACAAATCTTGTACATTATATCCAAATCACAGTGGAAATTCCAGAGAGGCATTATTATTAAAAGAAATTATAAATTACAGGTATACGAATGGCTTTATTGTCATTGACACGTGGCCCACGAGGGATATACCGTTGAGACCTGTGCTTACTTGCTCTCATTGTAAACTAACATAATTTCTTCATCCTGGAAATTTGTGTGGTAGACTAAGAGAAATGATCAGAATGGACAAAATGTTTCAAGACAAGAAATCGACATTATTTAATAATAATTAAGGTTTGCTTTATTCCAAGACAGTACTTGAAATGGTACTCGCTTCGGCGGTACATATACTAAAACTGGGACGATACAGAGAAGATTAGCAAGACCCTTACGCACGGATGACATGCAAAATCGTGAAGCGTTCCACATTTTTTGTGCGTCGGTGGTTCAGTGGTACAGCGCTGTCCGACCATGCACGTGGTCCGGGATTCGATCCCCGGCTACCAACACACTCTTTTACCTCGTTAAGCCAGTAATAAGACTGGTAAAGAGGGAAGGTTTGGCATGAGGATGGTTACGAACCTCATTCTGTAAAAATAAACACTACTGCGAACGAAACTTCAAGCCTCCAGCTTGAAGCCCAGTGTTCCACTGTGAACGTAAAGGAATAAAAAAAACTTGAGGTGAAACATGAAATTCACAGCACTACATTTAATTTACTCAACAACAACAACAAAAGAAGGAGAAAATACTTTATGGGGTATAGGTAACCAAAAGTTATAATGGCAGCTCTGTGGCATTAGCAGTAACAACAAAGTCAAAAATGTACAAAAAGCATAAAATGATAATAATAATAGTAATAAATAAATAAGTAAAATAATAAGACGGCTGAAATAGTGTCACTAAAGATTACAAATAGAAGAGGAATAAAAGAGCCGTTTACACTGCAAGTCGTAGGTTTCACGATTAGCAACGTTCTCTGTCACATAGAATGTAGGCAAGCTAAACAGGGTGTTGCTGTGTTTCTCAACTTGGTTATGCAAGCAAATAATCATTTTTAATGACTTATGATCCTATTTGATGAGATGGAGTGGGGAGTGTTGTGAATAAAGATGGTGTTGGCAGTCGGACAACACAGATTTTGCCCACTTCTCACATGAGTTCAGATGTCTGTTAACTACAATATTAACTAGACAAATTTGTGGCGCAGGCACAACAAATTTTCTACTTTAATGCCCTTTCTAATATGACACAGTCCTTTTTGAGTAGGGAAGACTAGGGGGGGAGCAATAAAGAACAACAGGTAAGGAGCAAGAGTTAACAAACTGAAATGTCAGAGGTTAAGTGATTCCTGATTGTTTTAATTTCTTAATGGAGAAGGCTGGACGGGACATTGTTTTGGAAATCAACAAGATATGGGATAACCAAAAAGGGTCAGAGGATAGAATCATGTCAAGGTGTTTGACTTAGTTTGTATTTCAGTGCCCTCTTTACTACAAGCATCTTGTGAACGAACAAGTTCGTGCAGAGCACGTTTATTTAATTTGGAGCAGTCAGGTCAGGACTTAACTGACGACGAGACAGTTAGATCATCAGCGCATTTGAAGAAGCTCACTCCTTCCGAAAGATGCAAGTCATGTAAGAAGGAAGAAAAAAGGAAGCGGAGAGAGAACGGCACTTTGACGGACACTGGCTTCAGTAAGCAAGCAAGTCAGAGGAAAATTCGCCTTTATATAAACAGAATACTGAATCCTTCTATGCGGAGAAATAAGCAGTCAACCATTTGACACCAATATCAAAAACGGTATTATAATAATGACATGATCACTGTTTTACCTGCTTGGACAAGATGTTCAGCCCGTTCACCTTGTTCGTATCCTTTGAAAGCAAATAAAACATAATCCATGGGTATTGAGCTAATCAAATCGAGAAAAAACCATGTTTTCACGTATTCCCGTGCAATTTCTGTAGGATCCAGTATTATATCATCAACAAAATCATTTCTGATAATACCTAAATCAGACATTCAGAGAGATTTAGAGAAAAAAAGTATACAAAAAACACATTAGAAAGAAACTGTTATTATGCAATAGAAATTGAAATGTCCATTTATTGAAACAAATTAAACAACGGGAAAACTGTAAAAATTACTATTTCCGTGACAGTCTTACTGACATAATAGTGCTTGTTTGGTGATGGGTTGCAGTAAAATTCAGAGTGTGAGTTTCATCCACTTCAGGAATCGCCAGCTTCATGGATCTGATACTCAGGGGGTGATAGTTTTTCAACTAAGAACTGAGTCCAGAAGCCACCCTCTGTAAACGCTAAACCACTATCTGACAGCCAAATAAGCCCTTTCAACCACTATCAGATGAGCTACGTCGTCATCGTTTTAGGAAAAGCATATGCGATTGATATAAGAATAAAACTTGTGCACTGTGGTAGAGTGTAATTCCATTGTGGGTAAATTTTGTTTTGATAAAGTCTCACAGTGTTATACAGTAATGTTTACTGTTGACGTTTCGAGCACAATTTATTGCTCATAATCCTATCAGGGTAATCACACGACTTCCTAAATTCATTTATATAGTTCCATTGTTTTTCACTTGATTTGATTGGTAGTAATATTTTCCATATTTCGGGTATTAGTGATGATTCATTCCTATTGCACGTGTTGGGTGTAGATTCGATGAACAAAGATTCAGTAATCAACCTCTCTCTCCACCTACCTAGATTACTTTTTAGAATTTTAACCCTCTCCCACCCTATTGTGTGGTTGTGTGTTAATGCATGCATTGCAATTGCCGAGCTTTTTTCTAAATTACTTATCTTTTCTGGGTCAACCATTCTTATCTTAGCTAAATTCTTATGTTCTGACAATCTGACTATTCCTGACCTACTAGTTTGACCTATGTAGTTGACCTCACAGTCATTGCAGGGTATTTTGTAAATTATATTATTTTGTCTAATTGGGTCCACTGGGTCCTTTAACCTACAGAGCTTGTCCCTGAGTGAGTTTGTAGGTTTAAATGCCACCCTAATTCCTGCTTTATTTAGAATCCTACGTAGGGTCTCAGATGTCCCCTCTTTATATGGTATAACTGTAGATGACTTATATTCTCTCTTATTTATGTTATTACTACTAGTTTCACAATTCCATTATGGGTACATTTTGTTTTGATAAAGTCTCACAGTGTTATACAGTAATATTTACTGATTATGAGCTTTAATTTGTGATCGAAACGTCATCAGTAAACGTTACTGCATAACACTGTGAAACTTTATCAAAACAAAATTTACCCATAATGGAAAGCATATGCAAAATAAGGTTTGAATAATTTCGCCAACGAATAACTATCAGGCGCAAACATATGTATATATACATATTTAAATAGATATGTAAATGTATGAGTCGAAATTTTAAGTCACCAGAGTGTAATTCATTGTTGTAAGTACAAAAGTAACCTCAAAGGATTTTCTAGAAAATAGAAGGACACAGGGTTGAAACAATATATTAAGGTCAATCAGTTATAAGACTGCTTTGGTCATGAGAAAACTTTGAATAAAAGAATAATGTTTCCCGAAAAAAATAGTGTGAGTGAACCTGATTTAGTTGACTATCCGGAATATGTGGTAGCTTGCCGGAAACTTGATTTCCCAAAACTTTTTATCGGTATATTGCATATAACCTTTTTTTTTTTGCTAGTTTCTACTAAAATTAAGGAAAAGCCTGATTGTAAGCGACCAAATACCCCGTTACATGAGATAACCATTCTTCAGCTATATCCTTTGGTCTCAAAATTCATTCTTAAACTTTACATAATTACCTTTCTCGAAGGAAACAAAGCGGAAATATCATAATGGAGTGGTTTGTACTTCAGCTCAGAGAGCATTGCGTCACAAGATCTACTGTCAGTTAATATTTTATTTGAAGATGATGTACGAAGGGAAAAAAATATCATGCAATAATCTCCGCTGAAAATTCTGTACGCCATATGACCACTGTCCAGAATAAAGTTATGATTTTTAATAGGCAGTGATATATATAAGAGTGCAAAAGAAATGAGCGTTTACATGTGATAGAAGGTGGTGTAATCAATTCTAGATCAGGAGAAAAGTTATTAGAGTGACTGAGGAATCATTCCCATAAAAATTCGATCAGTTTCTAGCAGTTTAATTTCAGGATTCAAGAGGCTTCAGCTTACTTGTTTGTTCAGCATCTTAAAGGGATTCATTAGGAGTAATTTGTGTAGCAGTAAAACAAACCAGCAGTTTAGGTGTGAGGACAAATACTCGCCAGCGATGACATTCGCTAGTGGTCGTGTCATATTGGACCATTGGATCGGGTCCCAGTGGGCTTAATGGTCTACGAGCGTGCTAGCCTTGTAACCAGAATGTCCTGTGTTCGAACCCCGGTGGGTGTGTAATGATGAAGACTTTCAAACTAGGACGAAACATTTGTCTAGTACTCCCAGCTGGTTTTCCAATGGTTCCCTAACCGATGTCAGTTCATGATGTAATCCTCAAACCAATCCAATCCCTGCAAACCAACAACTGAAGAACCAATAACTGATTCTTTTAAGATGAATAGTAGGACTGTACCTATCCGTATTTGTCTCTAGTTATATTTGTGTTATAAACAGCACTATATACTTAAAATCAGTGCTGTCTTCCAGTGGTTCAGTGGTGTAATATTCTTCAACCATGAAAGTGGTCTGGGGTTCGATCCCCGACCCACTTCATCCCTAGACTTTGCTTAGTTTACTAGACTACAGTAGGCCAAGGAATGACGGCTATTGAGACTAAAAGGCTTTTAGGCTCTATGTACCGCATGGAACTTCTTAAAAAAATGAAAAAACAACAACAAAGAAGTCTGTTTTTTTGTCTGTTCAAAGTTTGATAGTTTTGTAGCTCGCAAGTGAATTTAGAAGTAGTACAGCGTTTCTACTTTCGCACTGTCTGATGAAAAGCAAAAAACTGTTATGGGTGAGTGAAAATATACCTCATTCTAAATAATCCTATTTATAGCCAAAAAAATGACAGGTACTCTCAGGTAAAAAAAACAAACAAAACAAATTCTGACTAATTCTAAGACAGCAAAACTTAATAATTAATCTTATCAAGATAAAATTAATAACAATTCTTGATAAATGATTCTTAGTTTATGAAAACAGTGTGAACAGGGTCTATGAAACACGTCCTCTGGTGTAGTATTTATACATATATATTTCACTCGATGTGTGTGTGTGTCGTCTCACCTCGAGAACTTAAAGGTTGCATACAAGGCTAACCGACTGTGAAAATGCCATCTAATAGCATCCTTTTATTTTCATAATTTGTATGAACATAACAACAAGTTACTATTCATCATATCAGAGAATAAATAACTAGCTATAAACGAACACTAGTCAAAACACTGTTTTTACAGAGTCTAGACAATATTGCTGTGCGGAAATTCGTAATCACTTATGGAAGATGAGAAAACAGAGGTGATGAAGATTTCTTGGCAACACCAACAACAGCAACAACAACAACAGACAACAATTAGTATAAATGGAAGGAACCTGAAAGAAACAATTTCCTTTACCCACCTGGGAAGCATCGTTTCAACTACAGGTGAAACTGACGAGGATATCATAGCAAGAATCGGAAAAGCAAGACAAGGTTTCATTACCCTCAAGTCTGTGTGGAGGCCGACAGGATTCAGCGTCAAAAAAAAGATCCGGATTTTCAACTCCAATGTGAAGTCAGTTAGTGCTACTATACGGATCAGAGACTTGCACTGTGCGTCATAAAGAGCATCTCAAACAAACTGCAAACCTTCATTCACAGTTGTCTTCGCTCAATACTCAAAACCAGATGACTGGCCAGAAAAGATTAGAAATAGGGACCTGTGGGAGCAAACCGACCAGGAACCGATTGTGAAACAAATAGGCAGGAAGAAATGGAGATGAATTGGCCATACTCTGAGGAAACCATCAAGTGACATCACTAGACAAGCCATTACTCTAGTGGAACCCGAAAGGGAAGCGGCGGGTTGTTCGTCAGTGCAAGGGTGACTTGGAGGAGGTCATGTTAAGAGGAGATGAAAACGTGTGGGTAGACTTGGAGCCAGGTGAAGACTCTAGCAGAGAACCGAACACACTGGAGACGCACGGCTGAAGCCCTATGTTCCTCTAGGAATTAAAGGAAATAATAGTAATATGGAAGATGTGAAGGACCAAATACCGGAAAAGTCACAGTGGGGAAATTAGCCTATCTTCATCCCGACTTCGTCGACTTTAAAGGCGGTAATATTGAAGGAATAATTTAACAGAAGATTGAATAGGTACTTCAACAGCCAGAACCTATTCTGTAGCTAAGCTGGTTCCCGTTTATCGGACAACGTACTCGTTGATGTAGTCAAATACCGGCAGATACCTACCGTCTCATGTTAATTAAGTATGCAAATGTATGTGTATCTGTGGTAGGAGTTACGTTAGAGGGAAGAAAGAGGGGCATATCTTCGATTTTCGCAGCATGTACCAAAAAAACCTACATCCCACAGGAGCAAACGTTCATAATAGTGCCATGGTTAGATATTTTACCAATTCAGGTCATTGGTTTGGACATCATTACACAAAATAGCTGTATTCTCTACAAGTTTACCTAAGCATTTACTATCACGAAACGCCTGAAACCTGATCTCTGTGTTCAGAAAGAAGCGGTAATCAGTCTTTCCTAGCTCTGATAACTGAATGCCTTTAATCTCCCTTTCATTTGATTGCGTAATCGTTGGCTTCATCCTCTCCCCCACCTTCGGTATTGTGTAACTCTGCTTGCCTATTCTTTCTTTATTACGAAACTCTTTTGCCTTTATTTCGCAAACATTTATTTTTGTTTACAAACTTGAACTTTCTGTGTATAAGCAACATAAGTGTTTGAATAAAGCAAGAACAACAGCGGAGGTTTGTGCAGAATAATATGGTACCGTCATTGTTTATTTCGTTAGCTTCTCTTCAGCTGCTTGCTTA